ATAATTTACAACGTGGCGGTGACTATCCCCGGAGAGTCTTATCGAACTACAAAATATTTTCCTTTTTGCAGAAATACAGATTTTACAAAAGCATTCATATGTGTGTGTCCATTGAAGACGGCAGAGGGCATGCCATTTGTGGTATCTTTTTCTCATTTTTTCTATTAGATATTACTTATAAGGGTCCTTATATGTGAAGAGGACTGATCCTTTCTTAGCCATATAAAAATGCTCTTCAGAAAGAACATTGAAGTGCCTTGAGAGGTTGTGGACATTTTTCCCTTTTGTCACTAGCAATTCATGAATTATTTTGCACCTAAATAATTTTAATTTTAATGGTGACACAGTACAGTTCTCTATACTTATGATTCATAACATTCCTCTGGTCCTTAGAAAATTCTTCACCTACTCCCAAAAAATGCCATCACTTCTGGTTCTCTGATGAAACTTCTTTTTTAAGATTTATTTTTAATTTTTATTGGAAAGTCAGATCTACAGAGAGAAGGGGAAATGGAGAGAAAGAGCTTCCATTTGCTGATTCACTTCCCAAATGGCCACAATGGCCAGAGCTGTGCTGGTCCAAAGCCAGGAACCAGGAGCTTCTTCCGAGTCTCCCATGTGAGTGCAGAGACCCAAGGCTTTGGATCATCCTCCACTGCTTCCCTGGGTCACGAGCAGGGAGCTGGATGGAAAGTGGAGCTGCCGAGATGTGAAATGGCACCCATATGGGATCCCAGTGCATGCAAGGCAAGGATTTAACCACTGAGCCGTAGCTCTGGGCCCTCTGATGAAACCTCATAAACTCCTTTGGTCCTGTTACACGCTCTGGCATTGAGAACAAAGGATGAGAAAAAGTGACCTAGCTTCTTACATTTCAATTGGACAGCTGATTGTTCCTAATATCCTATATTGCTAAATCCATCCAACTCTTCCCCATGGAATTAAAATGTTTCCTTTGTCATAGAAGCTATGTCATGATTTTTATATGATTATAGTTTATTTTTGGATTTCCTATACAACACCACTGAGTAGTCTACATCACCTTGCATCTATTTCAATGGATGGTTTGTTTTTTAGCTGACAAGAAAAGAGTTTTGCTGAATATTTCTTTTTTAAAGATTGGGCTGGCACCATGGTGTATTAGGTTAATCCTGTGCCTCAACACCAGCACCCCACATGGGCATCAGTTCAAGTTCCAACAGCTCCACTTCTAATCCTGGGAAGACAACAGAGGATTGCTCAAGTTTTTGGACCCTGCACCCTTGGGGAAGAAACAGAAGAGGCTCCTGGCTCCTGGCTTCAGAATTGCCCAGCTTCAGTGGGGAGCGAATCAAAGGATGGAAGATCTGTGCCACTGTCTTTCTGTAGCTCTGTCTTTCAAATATAAAGAAATATTTTTTAAATTGCTAAATAAACTAAGTGTTCTTTTGTTCCAGATTAAAGGAAGAACCATTGGAAACTCCAAATAAAATCCCTCTTGAGAGAACAGTTTGAAAATCAGAAGTGGAAGAAGATGCAGTTTGGGGAGTCTGTGTTCTTTACCTTTTCCCCTTGGCTCTCTCCTCCTTTCTCTCTGATATTTTCCCATTATCTTCAGGTCCCTTGATTTCTCTCTAGCTTTAGTACCAGTTCACTGTGAATATCCTAGTTGCACCATTTTGTCTTTTATTGCAGAACCTTTTGTCTTTTATTGGTTCAGTCTCTTGTCCATCACAAACTCTACACACCTGCTAGGGCATTGATCACTGGCCAGTCACTGGATTACTTGCATTCCCCCTTTCTAACCTGCTGATGTGAGGGTGGAAGAGTGGAGAGGTATACATGATAAGGTAAGCATCTTAGCATCAAGTGTCGAAGACTATAGGCCCTAGGTTTTCATAGGCAGGCATGAGTACACTGCAGACACTTGAGCATGTGGCTTACCCAGAGCATCAGTGTAAGCAGAATAAATAACATATGAATGTATACTTTCTGTGTGACTTCAAGTTTAAACATATAATTATTAATATATGTATAATAACATTCATTGTGTCCTTATAATTAGCTAACTAGTGCTGTGTACTTTACAACCATTATGTGGTTACCAACTTACGAAGGTAAATATCATTGTCACCATTTCACAAATGAAATTGTGGATCTGAGAAATTAAATATAGCTTACTCTAATTCACTACTTGAATGGTAAATCCAGAGATTGAAACAAGCTTACTTGGTCATCCAAACTGAATATATATATATTATAAAATATACATATATTATAAATATATATATAGCTGAATATGTATATTTTATAATATATAATATATATTCAGTTTGGATAATCAAATAGATATATATTTGTTTATATTTATATTGTATTATATTTATATGCATGTATTTCTTACTATGCACATATTTTATCATAATTTATGCAGGGGACATGAGTAGGGGTCATCTTTTTCTTTATCTTCAATAATGACTACAACCGACTATATTTTGAATGGTAATTTTGAATTTCAGTAAGACTTTCCCCAGTTTCTGTGGAAATGACTTGTACACTTAAGGAAGCTAACAAGATTTTTATTTGTAGTTCACGAGCAGAATTTTTTGTTTTATTTTGGGAATCAGCATAGCAGGACCAGATGGAAATGGCTTCCACTAAAGTAAAGCTTTCATGAGCTTCGTTACATAAATACCTCTTGCATACCAAACACCACTCTGTGCTTTGGAAATATTCTCTGTGACAACATTTTTCAGAGTGAATTCTTCAGCCAAATGAATGTATCCATCAAAACACAGATCTCATCTGATATGTCAGAATCCAAGTTAACAGGCTTAGAAGAAAAATATAAAATTGTGCAGTCCTTTCCTTGCCCTCATGTCATGGACCCTGAAATCTGCAAGTCACTACTCTGGAAAATCCAAAATAGATGGAAGGAAAGAAGAAATGAGTCCTAAGCCCAGCAATAATTCTAGCTGGCTGGGAGCCTTCTCAATTCCCCCTGTCTATGCCATTAGTCTGAGGAATCCAGATCGTTTTTTCTATACAGGTTGAAACGAAAAGCACACAGACCAGTCAATAAATGCTTTATGGAGAAGAAATGAAAAAAATGACACCATTTTGTCATCTTGTACAGTAATGGAAAATGACAAGGTTGAATATTTGATGAGATTGAATATTCTAGCCAGCAACAAGTACAGCCAACATAAGAGGGATAATGAGATAGCATTCCTGACCTGAATCATGAGCGTCTATTTGAAAAATAACTGGAGCCAAGTCACGGCCTTCACTGTTGGGGACAAGTTGAGATTTTCTTGAGTGGCCATCCAATACCTGAGAGTTTACAAGCAGGTGAGTGACGTAATGGATTTGGTGTTTGAATCTTAGGAGATGAACTGAAAACTTGTCACAGAATAATCTGTTAGGAGGCTCCGAAGAAAGCCTTGGAAAGAGAATAACAGGCGCATAAATGAAAATAATAAGGGGAACAGAGAAAGTGATTCAAGAGCTGGAAACATCCAGATACAATTCTGACAATTTAGAAATCATATCGCTTTTGTCATCATGAGGAAAACAAGCAGGAAATGTGAAAAACTGAGACTTTCATGGACTTTTTCAAGAACAGAGATCACAGAGCAAATTCACCATTCTGGAGAAGTGGACACACTCAGAGAGTGACTCTCTAGCTCTGCTCACCTAGAGCAGAAGGTTCTGGACCATGAGATGGGAGGAATGCTGGCATAGGAAATCAGATGAGGCTAGAGGTGGAGGGTCAACTATCCTAAGACTGAGGATCACCTGAGAGCCATGTTTCAAGGGTGTTGAGTAGGGTTGGACATCTTTCAGTGGGCTTCATTTCCGGAATCCCTAGCAGGTTCTCTTAAAGAGACAACCATGAGCTCCTCAAAGCCCAGATGAGAAGAGCAACCAATGTGAGCCAAGCCAGAGAGCAGGCTCCTGAACAAAGACCTATTCTCCAGGGCAAGAACACATCAACAGAGACTCATCCTTCTTGTCACATGGGCGCTTTTCCCCCCTCCACTCCACTCTCACCTGAGACAGGAGAAGAAGAGAAGAAGTCAGAAAATCTGTGACAGTCATGGGCCACTGAAAACTGGGGTTGTCATTCCCTCGCCCTGTGTCACCACCTGGAATGGGGCTTTACACCTGAAAGAGTAGCAAGACACAAATTTGACCTGAACAGAAGCTCTTAGCGAAGCCCAAAAGTCGATAAAGCAGCAATGGTTAGGGACACCAAATGAACTTGGTTGCTCCAGAGCCTGTAGCTACAGCCAACATTACACATCGCCCATTATCTCACCAGCTGAACTGAAAACCTCACACTGAAATATTCGCTTTGGCTCTGAAGACATGACATATTGACTTTCAACCAAAAATTACAAGGTGTGCTACCAATCAAGTAGAAAAATAGTCTGAAGACATCATATAAGCACTGAAATCAGACTAAGATATAGAGACAGAGTCTGAATGACCTCACTGGGAATTTAAAATGATCAAGATTAATCTCATCAGGGCACTTACAGAAAAGAACGACAAGGAAGATCAACTAAGTAAATACAGAGATGGAAACATGACAAAACAACCAAAGGAACATGTTAGAAATGAGGAGCAATATACTACAATATACCAGCAAGGTTTTTTTTGAAAATTCTAAGTTAATTTAAGCTGCAGCTATGGAAACATATTGAAGGATTATAGCATTTTGATGAGTAAAATAAAAGGCAGCATTGCCATAAGGGGAAAAGAGGAAAGAATTGATAATACTTGGTTACATGGTATCTGCTCTAAAGTGGGTGTAACATTGCATTATTTGAAAGTGGCCAGAAATTGGTTGTAAATATATGATGCATACTCTAGGGTAACCACTACATTTTTTTTTCTAAGGGAAATATAAATAATATGTTAAAGGAAAAGATAAAATTGAATTATACAAAATGCTTAACTAAAACCAGAGAAAGGAGGGAGGAAGTTAAAGAAGACAAGAAGCAATAAATATAACGATCGCTTCTTGGCCTTTTGGCTAAGATCAAGTGTAATAAATATAACAAATAGAAAATTGCTGCAAACATGCTATTCCTTAGTCCAATGATATCAGTAAGCAGTTTAAATATGACTAGGCTGCACGCATCATTTAACACACAGAGATTGTCATAATGAATCGACTAGAAGAAGTCTCCACTCTATGCTGTTTGTAAAAATATTTCTATTTAATATATAGAAATGGATTTAAAACAAAAAGATGGGGAAAGATATACCTGGCTAAAACCAATTAAAAAGAAATTTGGAGCAGCTGTATGAATTTCAGACAAACCAGATTTCAAAGCCAAGAAAATTATAAGAGAAAAAGAGGGGCATTATATGGTGACAAGAAACCAATGCCCCAAAGAAAATATGTCTTCCCTAAACGTGTACATATTAACAACAAAGCATCAATATGTATAAGGCAAAAACTGCAATGGGAGTGGGTAATTAGGATAATTGAAGACTTCAAAACTGAATCAGAAGAAACTCAGTAAGGATATATTTTGATATAACTGGAATTAATAAAATATCTTATCCCCAAATAGCAGAATACACAATCCTCTCTGGTTCTCACATGTATTCACTAAAATAGACTACATGTGGTGTCGTAAGAAATACCTTCACACATTCAAAACAATACAAATTCTGCTCTAAATATCATACAATACTTAAACCAAGTGCAAATAAAAATTTAACCTATCAAAACTGTGTAATGCAGCAAAGGCAATGCTTACAGGGAATTTATAACACTAAAAGTATGTCTTAGACAAAGTTCAAAACTTAGTTTTAAAAAAAATCAGAGCTATAAAAGATAGGAAAATAATAGAGGAAATCAAAGGAAAACAAAAACTGGTTCTGTTAGAAGACTCATAAGATTGCTTGATTTCTTGCCAAGCTAACCAAGGATAAAACAATGAAGAGAGGCCAGTGCCATGGTGCAACAGGCTAAGCTTCTGCCTGTGGTGTTGATATCCCAAATGGGTACCAGTTCATGTCCCAGCTGCTCCAGTTCTGATCCAGCTCCCTTCTTATTGCCTGAGAAAGCAGTGGATAATGGTTCAAATCGTTGGGCCCTACATCCATGATGTAGACCCAGAAGAAGCTCCTGGCTCCTGGTTTCGCATCAGCTCGGCTCTGGCTGTTATAGCCATTTGACAAATAAATCAGCAGATGGAAGGTCTTTGTCTCTCCTCCTCTCTTTAACTCTGTTTTTTCAAATATAAATAAAATCTTAAAAAAAAAAGACATGAAAGAGGGGTCAGCATTACTGGTCCTGTGAACAACGAGAAAAAAACTATAGTAGATGATGCTAATGGATGAAGGGAATGGCTTCACTTACTAAACGATGAAGAAAGAGCCAGTGCAGTGAGCACGATGCTCGTGTTATCCACAAGTGAATGACTTTGGATGTGAGCATGAGATTGTTTTTAGAAGGTGCCACAATGCAGGGAAGTGAGTGAATACTTTGGGGTCATCAGAAAATAGATCCCTGTGAAGGCAAGAAGGCAGGCAAAACAGGATGAGGACCAGGCACACAACCCTTCATTAGGACTGTCACTCCCCACCCCTTCCTGGGGAAATGACCAGCAGTACATGTAACCACTCCTGAGATGAGGCTGGTGCTTCAGTGACACGGAAGCCAACTTTCCTTAGCGCCTGCACATCCTGTCAAACAAGAAGTGCAGGTGCAAACTGTGCCTTTGCTGTCTGTGGGAAGGCGATTATTACCGTTGCTGATGTTTCATATGAGAGTCAAAGATAGTCAGAAAAGTACAAGATGAAGAAGAGAGAGAACACTCCTTCTATCACTCCTTCTATTGATCTGCTACTCAAGTGTTCACAAAGGCCGGTACTGATCTGAGGACACAGCCGAGATGAGGGATCCAGTCATCGGAGCCACCACTGCTGCTTTCCATGCTCTGTCTTCTCAAGAAGCTGGAGTCAGGGAAAGCGCCTGGACCGTGAAACCGGACATGTTGATATAGAATGTGAGTGCCTTAACCACTAGATCAAATTCCTTCCATTGGAGAAACCCTTTAGACAAGCCTCTATCCTCAAAGGTGGTGTTGAATACAGTCAAATACTACCTTTGTAGGTAGTATTCCTCAAGTAACCATGGCAACCAGTAGAATCAACCACAAGCGGTCTTGAAAAAGGAATGTGGAACCAGCACTTGTGACTAAGTAGCTCAAGTCTCTCCCTATAGTGCCAGCGTCCCATATGGGTTCAAGTCCCAGCTGCTCCACTTCTTATACAGCTCTCTGCTAATGAGCCTGGGAAACCAGTGCAGGATGTCCTAAAGGTTCTGGTCCCTTCCTCCACATGGGAGGTCTAGAAGAAGTTTTCTGGCTCTTAGTTTTGGAGAAGCCCAGTCCTGGCTGTTGTGGCCATTTGAGGAGTGAACCAGCAGATGGAAGACATCTCTCTCTCTCTTTTTCTCCTCCTCCTCTTTCTTCTCTGTAAATTTGCCTTGCAAGTAAAAATAAACAAGTCTTTAAAAAAAATGATATGTGGATTTCAATCATTCAATCATTCTTCGTACCCAAATAAACTTGAAAATTCTCCTTTTCTACCATGGATTCTTTGAAAGTAACAAGTAACTACTTTCAGTATCCAAGGAAGATCCACATGAGGATGGGTAGACTTTATAAAGAAAAAAAAAATAAACAAGGAACTCATTCACAGTTAGGACCCAAGAAAAAATGGATGGTATATTATCATAGAACCCAAGGTTAGGTAGCAAGAGAGAAGAGCAGAAGCTTGATATCATTTACAGAAATTCAGAAAGTCACCCAAGGTAACGAGCGGGTGGCTAGGTGAAGCTGGGTCACCCTGGAGAGAAAATTATGGAGGAAGCTGTTGGTATGGCCCAACTTCATGGAACCCAGCTGACTTCAGACACATATAGGTGACTGCATGGAAGACAGAAAATACCAAAACATGAGCCGGGGGCCACCATGGTGACACAGTGGGTTAAACTACCACTTGCAATGCCTATAGCCCATATCACAGCACTGCTTCCAGTCCCCGCTGCTCTGCTTCTGGACCCAGCTCCTTGCGAATGGGCCTTAGAAAACACAAGGCGTGTCAGGTGGTTTTGCCCCGCCACTTGGGTGGAGTTGCTGCCACCTGGTCGACACCTAGCTATTTTGGCTTTTTGGGGAGTGAGCTAATGGATGGGAGGTTTCTCTCTCTCTCTCTCTCCCTCTTTCTTTGTCACTCGGCTTTCCAAATAAATCTTTTTTTAAAAAAGTCATAGGGAACTTACACAACCTGCATAAGTTACCATGAAAGGAAGAAAGAGCAGTAGTAAAAGAAATAAACTGTTTTCTGTACGGGTGATGAAATCTGCGGAGAAAATGAGAATTGGAAACACAGATGGAAGTCACGTTGGATGCCAGGTTCCTGGGTGCTGAGAGTAAAAGTGATCATGAGTGTGACAAAGGGTGTGAGACACTCACCAAATGACACTCCCACACAGATTGGGATGAATTAGGCGACAGAGATCAGAAGAACCTGCAGGTCAGATGGCTCACTGGGCAGAGCCCGGGAAACGCAAGCCCTTCGGAACCACCAAGTCCTGCAACGTGCTGCCTTTTCTTGCATCTTTCTTGACACCTGTGATCCTCTTCGCTTATTTTCGCTCTCTCAGAAGAGATTGTTTCCCTTTGGCAAGAAAATCAGGCAGGACTTGTATGTGTTTAAGTGAACACATGCATTTATTAAGCTGTGTAAATGCGACTCACGCTTGTGCTCAGGGTGAAGGATAGATGACCAAATCAGAGGAGAGAGCTATGCAGCATATTCAAAAGAGGCTGCCTGCTACCGGATTCCTCCTCCTTGCCTTTGTGAGTGCATAGGTCAGGCACTGTCAGGGATTTCAAGAGAAGCCAGAACTCGAGCTGTTTATATGAAATATCCTGTTTTGTGCCGGCTCGATTGAAAAGCGACAGAGGGCTGGGTAGGCCATCTGGGTGCCAGACCTGTCCATTCATCAGCTTGCATCTTCTGTGTTACACATCCAATTCAACCTGTCACAGACTCGGGAGACAGCTTTGATACCTGAATCAAGGGACCTGTGCTTTCCTTTGCTTGCGCTGATTAAAGGGAAAGGGGCAGAAACTCCTTGAAAGCCAAGTGAGCTATTTGGGATTAACGGTTTACCAGGACCATTTGCTCATGCAGAAAAACAGAGCAAGAGGTTTAAGCTACATGGATTCTGTAGCAGCGGAAAGGTTGTTTGTGTGGTTAACAAGAAGACGTCTCATGGTGGTGCTACGGTGTGCAATGACAAAATTAACATGTCTACAAATAGTCCTCCAGTGCTGTCTCGGTCAGAATGAGTTATGGCGAAATGAGGGACAGATGTTTGAAGAAACATGATTTAGAAACACTTTTAGTTATGTGGGGTGTCTCTCTCCCTGCGTTGGCTGTTGTTCTTCTGGCCGTATTACCCAAATTTCAAGTTTCGACACAGACAAATATATTTCATACAGCATGACCCCATGGCTTTAGAAATTTCCTTTATGCAAAATAATTTGCCATTATATTGCCCTAGTTTGCACATGGCACACACTGTGGCTTCAGGAAGCTGGATGGCATATTACAGGTGACTTGGGGGTCACTGGATTCGTGTTATCACCCATGCTAGGGAGCCATGTAGTAATTCTGGTTACGCATATTTTAGAGACTATTATCTCACAACTCCAAATTATGATACCTTTTTTAAACTTCCCATTCTTCCATCCGCTCTGCCTCATTTTGTGGTGGAGGCTGATTTCATATTGTAATATCCCTTCCTTGTCCAGCAGCAGAATTTTAGCCAAGGGCTGGGGTGTCCAGAGAAAAGCAAATATGGCCAGCCTTTCTAATAACTTGATGTGTAAAGAATGACTCGATTTGAAACTACTTGATGTCCTTTTCTAAAAGGCTCTAATTGGATAACAACACCCACGCTCTACTTTTTTTCCATCAAAAATACCACTCATACTTTTAAGAAACAAAACTAATAATGCAAAAAGGAGAATGACAACAGTCCTTCCAATATCCCTTTTATCTTCACATGCACAAAAATTACTTCTTCTTAGGACTTCATTCCACCAAGTAAGTTAAAATCATCGTATTTTTCTTTTCCAAATGATGTGGAACCTTTTATTGGCATT